TTACCTAAAATTTAATAAATTAATTTTCATAAAATAAATTATTTAATTCACATTTAACCACATCTGGGTAGAACCTTTTGACGGCTGGCATTGTTTGAGTGAATGATATGCGTATTCCTTTTGAAAGACCTTTTAATTCTTGTTTTGCTGGAAGAAAATATAAAACATAACCTCTGTGTTACCAACATAAAATTTCGGCGTTTGTGGATTCGGAAAATTTCGACGCAAGGTACTCCGGCAACGTTGCAAATATTGAGTGCAATTTCTTTTTACCAATTTCCGAATAAATATCGGACCGATATTATCGATCGACGTCGTGGCAACTAGGTTGATTGATCGTGGCAACTAGGTTGATTTTTTTGTGCGGTTTTTACGCTTCTTGAAAAACAATCCACTCGATATCGTGAAGAATTTCTCGAATAAAATTTTCGACGAAATGTTTCTTCTTTTTTGATTTATAAAGAGTAAGTTAAATTAAATTTCTTCTTTCATTTGTTACAATAAATTTTCTTTTATACAGTTCTTTACCGAATTAAACTTAGCAAGAGAGATTACTTGAGTGATTCAAAACCTCTGAGTCTGGAGGGTAAGTAGAGCAAGTTTAAGCTTACGTATATTATATTACTTGAAATTTCACTAGTTTTTCCAATGGGGATATAAATGTTCACTTGAAACCCACGCCACGTGCCATTCCATCAAGGGCCACGTGCCATTCCATCAAAGGCCGCGCTGTATTTAACCAGAATCAGCCAGGAGGACGCGTGTGGTAACGTACCCATTGGAAGTCTTAAATGCTTTAGTAATCTACTTGACTATATATTTTTTTACACCAAGTTAGGCCCCATCAGGGTCTATCCTTGTTTCACTTTTTATATTATTAATATCCTTAAATATATTTTGTTCTGAGTTAGGCCCCTTCAGGACCTACACTCATTTTACTTGATATCTAACATTTATTGCATAATGGCGATAATTTTACATATTTTTTTGTTTTGAGTTAGGCCCTTCAGGACCTACACTCGCGTTACTTGATTTTATATGGGGCAAAACACCTCAAGTGTTCCCACCTAAAAATGATGTTTTCTCCGATTTTAACAAAACTTTGCCAAATCATTGTCCTATTGGACTACCTTAATTTTCCAAATGGGGGGCAAAAAGGATTAGCGGGTTGCAGAAATACAGGAGCCTGAAAATTAATTTTTTTTCTCGTGCGCTTAAAAGAAGTCGAAATATTCATGTATGTAATAATTTTTTTTAAAATTGATAATCAACATATCGTATAGCATTTTTTCCACGCTTTACGATAAAAATGGTCTCGAAAGCGAGAAAAAATTTTTTGGTTATAAAAAAACGATTTTAAAAATATATTTGTTTTTTTCTCGAAATGCGACCCATTTGATTTTTTTAAAATTAATATCAAAAGAAAACTTGTTCAATTCCCTAAATTTTGATGTAATATGAAGATGGGATCCCAAGAATAAGTCTAAAAAAATAAGGGTTGAAGCGCGTAGGGTCCGTGCGGCGAGCAGCTACTATAGTATACCTATTGCAGCGGTGCTCGGTCAACTACTTAGTTGATTAATTGGAGGGTCAATACAACTTTTAAAATTATTTTTATATAGTGTAAGCGTTCACACCCCCCCCCAGCAAAGAATCTGTAAAAAGTTACACCCCAAGTGATAAATGAAATATAACACCACGGCAAATGTTATATTAAATTACGACAAATAAATAAAATAAATACTTACGGTAATAAAGCTCATTAATTTAGTAACCCAAGGTACTTGTGAGGTGTTGTATTCATGGGGAAAGTATTAAAAGGGAATTAAAAATACAGTAAATAAAAGGCACTAAGTTACGTTTGAACTCAGGTCAAAAACCCGGAAGGCTCCCGTTTATTTTTTATTTAAGTATCGCTCATAAAACCTTCCAAAATGAGGGATTATGGGAGTGAGTTTCACGTATAAAATATTTACAATTTATAACAAACAATAATGATATTTATTTGGATAGAGCAACAAAAATAACCGCAACCCAAACGACATTTAACTTAGTGAACTCTGAAAGAAAAGGACCTCCTACAACCGTTAAAACCACACAATATCTCCTTACTGCGACTACAACCCAAATATAAATAAATATATAAATACCATTAGATAAATAATACATCATACTAGAGCTTAGCTCTCGTTTTTTATTTTTAAATTTTTATCTTCGCTTTTTGCTGATTTGTTTGTTTATTTTCATTTTTAATTTTTATCTTCGCTTTTTGCTGATTTGTTTGTTTGTTTGGTGAAAGTAGATTGAGTCTTAGTCTCTAATTTTGTATGTTAAATTTAACTTTATTCATCAAGCATTCCGTCTGCAATAGGCCTCCATCATCCAAATAAAGTTTTTATATTTATTTACTGTTGAATTTAAGTTTACTGTTACACGAAATTTTCATGTAATATTTATTAGAGTTCAGGCTCAATAAACTGTTGGAAAAGGAGTAAATAATTATTAGGCTCGACTCGGGCTTCAGCTGAGGGTTCGGAATTGTCTATTTTGCCTCATTAGTAAGCAAACTTTAATAAATTAATAATTACCATAAAATACTAGGTAATCAAAATGACACAAATAACAAAGACAAAGTCTACGTCACGCAGTCAGATGAAATCAAACCGCTCGGCACCTAATAAAATTTACAGGATAGTAATTCAAAATGGGCTTGTTGTGTCATGGACTCCACGGAAAGTGGAGATAAATCAAATGTCGTTATCGCACAATCATTGTTGCTACTCACTCCAAATGTAATACCAAATAATTTAATGACTGGTAAAATTCACTTAAATAATTACGGGACATAAATGTGAATCCGCGAGTACAATTTTAACAAATCCCGTATTTAAGAAAATCGATATAAAATACACTTAATTTACACAGCGTTTACGTTAAATCCCCCTTTTGAAATATTTATTAAAATTAATTAAATAATCCTGAGTACCGTCCTGACATTTAGCTTAATTAAATCGAATACGGTCCTGCCTATTTTAATTTGATGAAATAACCGTAAATTCTTGCTCTTTTAATTTGATAATTACTCGTTAAAAATCCCTGCCTTTTATTAGATAAAATCAAGTACCAATTGTTTATAACTTAGAATATAAATTATAATACGAAATACCAAATTTTAAACTTAATTTAATTCATGTCAATTTCTACGGGCGTGGTTTCTAAACGACAGCCATTACAGCGTAATAGATCGAACGATGACGCCAAGTCAATTGATCGAATATTTATCTTACACAAGGTGTTTGTGTAAACTAATTATACCAAAATGCTCGGGAATATTTATACTACAATAATTTAGTTATTTAAAACGTACAAACCTACATTTTTAACCACTTTCCTGCACACACAATTTCGCACCTCTCGTCTCTGCACGGCTCAGCTCCAATGCTCGAATGAATGTTCTCCCCTGCCCGTCACTTGCGTCTTTCCCCCTACCTTTTCCCACTTAAACACGCGATCCTTTCTAGCCAATGGCACGCTACCTTTTATATGTCACTTGTATTTCCGTTGCGCTAAATTTAAATGTTAGTTTTATTCACATGGCTTTTTGAATGCATTTATTTTAAACAATTAGGATCGTAATAACCCACGGATTGTTTATTAGGGGGGGTATTTGCAGATCTCCTCAATAGAAATAAATGTATTTTTCGATGGGTTAAAGTCAAAACAGCACAAGCGCCAAATTTTAATTTTTTTTTAGAAGAAGGTCGATAGAGAATTTACATGTTCTTCTAAAAAATTTAAAAATTTTGGCGCCTGTGTCGTTTCGCCTTAAACTCATCGATTTTATTGCAATAGTTCAAATTAATAGCAATTAAAACCCATGTTTTGGTTCTTGTAGTCGAAAAAGAAAAATGTAGAAAGTAATAAGTTGCTCTTACTCTGAATAAATTACACGTGCACGTAAATGTAAATAAGTTCTACTATTTAATGCAATTGCAAGTGTCTCACAATAATAATAAACATTTTTCATGTAAACTTTTTATTGAACATTTTACCTATTTTTTATTTTTGGGAAAAATATCATATTCGTTAGCAAACGATATTTTTTTTAAGTACAACATTTCTTTTCCGTTAGGAACAAATGAGTGATATTTCTGTGTCCCAGGAATTGATTTTGCAGAATCAAATCGGTTTTTAAGAATTTCTGCTGTTTTCATATGATTTTTTTCAGGACTGAAAAATACTTTTGTTTCTGACAAACTTTTTTTAGCCCATTCATACAAATCATTGGCACTTAAAATTGGATTTTTTGATGTTGCCTGCAAACTTGCGCGGGCAGCGAGTCTTTTTAAATTTCCGCCAATGCCATCACAGGGGCCTTTACCGTGTGCTGTTGCATGAAAGTGCCACTCGGCTAAAATACCAAAATCAGTTTCATGTTGCATAAGGTTTTTAAAATTGTACTTGTTTTTGAAATGTTGTGCGTAAAATAAATACATTTTTTAGGTATAAAATTTTGTTTTAAATAGTTTATCAAAATTTTCTGGAATTCATAAACTGCGACAGTGTCATGCTTTAGGCAATCCGATAAAATTGCTGCACTAAAATTATGAAGTTTTTCATTTTCCTTGTAATAAATGACGGTTGTGAAAATCGTAACTTGGTCATTATTCCAATGAAATGACTGAGCCGCATTTTGTACTACAAATGCGTAATTTTCAGCGAAGTCGCACAATACTAGAAATTCGTTGCCATGATTGAAACTCAATTTTTTCAATAAAATTGTCTTTAAAAAGAGATTTCAAAAACTTTTGAAGTTCGTTAATACCAGGACACTTTTTACATTCATTTAGGTAGCATTCTGATTTAGGATTATCACACTGAATAATTTTGAAAATGTCTTGATACTTAGTAAAATGAAAGTCAGTTTCCCGAGTTAATTCGTCAAAACCAACAGAATCCAACATTAAAATAACATTTTCATGGTGTACACATACACATACAGTATGAGTGCCACTGGCTCCAGCCAGGACGCAATTACGAGGTCGGATCTGTGAAAATTTTGACAAGCCTATTCGCACATTCGGATATTTTAATTGAAAATTAGAATACAATTCAGCAAGATTGCACAAAACCAATCGTTTTTGGACGTGTTCCCGGGATCCATCGTCTTTTCTTATTGAAACATAATCTTTCATACCTGGCATCATACGGCTGTTTTCGTCATGAGTGTAAGAAGATATTACCAAATTTTTTGTTTGCTCAGGTAATAGTCTACCCTTTTTGGGATCTGGTTTGGACAAAATGCCATATCTTTCGACTAAATTTTTAGCTTTTCGGGCCTGACGCTCAGAAGCACCGAATTTTAGAGCCAGTCTTCTACGACCCCACGACTTCGGTGCAAGTGTCAAGAGTTGTACCTTTTCTGAATTAACTGAAGAATTTTGAAATTTGGTCTTAATTTGATTTAAAACTTCTAATGCCGATCTATGCTCTTTGTCATTACACATTTTTTCTTCTTTTCTGTCCATGACTGTTAAAGGGGAATTTGAAAGTTCATTATTCTCGGGGAGGTTTTCTTCAGAATAATGGTCTTCTTCACCATCGACCTGTTGAAATTATGGTGTAAATAATAATAGGTAGTTAACTGTTATCTCTATTCGTTTCAGATAGTTCCAGAAAAAAAGGTAAAATTTAATAAAAATCCTAAGTTCAGTGCAGTTAAAATTAATTACTTGATTATAATTCAATAGAATTCTAAAACATTAATGTTTAAGCAAGTTTTAAAGTTATACTTAGTCATTATATTTACCTTAAGTAGTGAATTATTATCCCTTTCCATTGACATGGTGTTCATACGTTTTCTACAAGACGTACATATTTTTGCATCAGCAGGTACGTTCAAAAAAATTTTCTGTAGGGCCGATGAAATATTTCTTAGATCTTGTTTTATCTTGTGGTTTGTTTTTTTTTCATGGATTAAAGCAGCGATCTCCTAAACTTCTTCTATCCATCGTATATTAGAAAAGATTGATTTTTTAACTAAAGAAAATATAAAAAAGACTACTTAGTTAAACTTTCAATTGACCCACCAAATCAGTCCATATTTTGAAATAAAACTTTAAAATAAGTGAATATTATTTTAAACTGAACAAAAAACTCTTTAAAATATCGTTTTTAGACAAAAACATACCTTGAATTAAGAAAAAACAGCAAAAAACGATGAACTAAAACCGCAAAATATTATTCAGTTTTGACATATGTCAAATAATATTTCTATGCCCAGCATAAATAAAAAATCATGGCATACCTAATTTACAAGCAACCAATGAAACTATTTTTGTTAGTTTACCAAAACCCCTAGTTACAAGTTGTAACTTTCAACATTGCAAAAACAAGTATACATAACTTTAAAAACCTTATGCAACATGAAACTGATTTTGGTATTTCAGCCGAGTAGCACTTTCGTGCAACAGCACACGGTAAAGGCCCCTGTGATGGCATTGGGGGGAATTTAAAAAGATTCGCTGCCCCCGCAAATTTGCAGGCAACATCAAAAAATCCAATTCTAAGTGCCAATGATTTGTATGAATGGGCTAAAAAAAGTTTGCAAGAAACAAAAGTATGTCTCAGTCCAATTGCATTAAATAGTAGAACTTATTTACATTTACGTGCACGTGTAATCTTTTCAGAGTAAGAGCAACTTATTACTTTCTACAATTTTCTTGTTCGACTACAAAAACCAAAACATGGGTTTTAATTGCTATTAATTTGAACTATTGCAATAAAATCGATGAGTTTAAGGCAAAACGACACAGGCGCCAAAAATTTTAAATTTGTTAGAAGTACATGTACCTGCAGGTCGATAGAGAATTAAATTCTCTATCGACCTTCTCCTAAAAAGAAATTAAAATTTGGCACTTGTGCTGTTTTGACTTAAACCCATCGAAAAATACATTTATTTATATATAAAAATAATTTTAAAAGTTGTATTGACCCTCCAATTTAATCCACTAAGTTGACCGAGCACCGCTGCAATAGGTATACTATAGTAGCTGCTCGCCGCACGGTCCCTACGCGCTTCAACCCTTATTTTTTTAGACTTATTCTTGGGATCCCATCTTTATATTACATCAAAATTTAGGGAATTGAACAAGCTTTCTTTTGATATTAATTTTAAAAAAATCAAATGGGTCGCATTTCGAGAAAAAAACAAATATATTTTTAAAATCGTTTTTTTATAACCAAAAAATTTTTTCTCGCTTTCGAGACCATTTTTATCGTAAAGCGTGGAAAAAATGCTATACTATATGTTGATTATCAATTTAAAAAAAAATTATTATATACATGAATATTTCAACGTCTTTTAAGCGCACGAGAAAAAAATAAATTTTCAGGCCCCTGTATCTCTGCAACCCGCTAATCCTTTTTGCCCCCCATTTGGAAAATGAAGGTAGTCCAATAGGACAATGATTTGGCAAAGTTTTGTTAAAATCGGAGAAAACATCATTTTTAGGTGGGAACACTTGAGGTGTTTTGCCCCATATTATATATTTTTTTTTTTCATATGAAAAAACACGTTTAATGTAAACGTACAGTTTTTATGGCCATAAATATTGAACGGTTAATGATTTTGTGCAAAGGTGAATATCTAATTTTGGTTTATATCTATTGAATATTTGTTTACATAAATAAATATCTTATTTTGATTTATATCTATTGAATATTGCATAAATAAATCTCTTATTTTGGTTTATATCTGTTGAAATCATATAATGTATGATTGGAACCTCTTATAATATATGCGAAGTAATTCTTAATTTTTTTTTAATTTAAACAACCAAACCCACCCAAACCCTAGACACTAGGTAAACTCTTAATTTGGATGGTTGGCGCCCATAAATTCCAACCTGAGCAAATGTAAGTATAATTTCGGTGTAAACCCCCTATTGCTCGCATTTCCGAAAATGACTCACCCTCGTACTGAGCCCGGGATATATACATATAAAAAAAAGGAGCAACCAAGCTGCTACACCATTCACAAAAACACTGCTGGACTGGTGTAAAAGAGATGCGACACGTTCGATATCCTCTGAGGCATGCTGGTTACAGGTCGACGGTAGCCCCTTTTCCTCGACCCTATCTAGCTTTCCACATCTCCAAAACCGGATTTCCTTCTTTTCTGGTAAATTCTCTTTAAGAACTCGCCTGATTTCTTCGATTATACTGGGTTCCTTTTTTTTTTCTTCCTCGACTCTTCTAATTCTATGCTGGCTCCTGCAGCTCTGCTTTGCCGCCTCAAATTCCAAAGCTCGGGCCAATGCATCAACCAGTTGGCTCGGACGAGCCAACGTCAGAGCCTGTCTTGTTTCGTTGTCCCGAAGTCCATCCAAAAAGGCTTGAACCGCTAATCGTTCCATAACGGTCGTTGGAGTAGCTGGATATGCTAGCCGAACCAAGCGTGCAAGATCCGCCTCGAATTCTTGTAAAGTCTCATTTGATTTCTGGCAGCGATTCTTCAGTTGGGAATGGTACACATGTTCCAGATGTGTCTGGCCATATCGAAGTTCCAGATGTTTCACCAACGCTTCGTAATCTTCTTGTTCGTTGGGAGAAAGTGTCTGCAAGATGTCGGTTGCATCTCCGCGTAAAGCAAGAGTCAATGCTGTAGCCTTCTCTTCTGGTAGCCAGCCATTTGCTTTTGCTGCTGCCTCGAACTGACAGATGTAGTTGGTCCAAGAAGTTTTTCCATCGAACTGAGGTGGTTTCATCCTAACTCGGCTCCCCTTCGGCACTGCTCCTTGTTCCGCCAGCATCATAGGTAAATTAACAGCTTTTCCCGTGAGAAGTAGCGAAAAAATTCCATTCTGCTTGCAACCCAAAGTCATCATTATGATAACACAAAATAACAAAAAAAAAATATTTTTATATTGTGAGGCTGCCCCATCACTAAAATTGTGTACCTTTTTCAACGCTGAGTAGTTTTATTTAACATATTCAATAAAAACCGTTTGAAATGCATAAAAAGATACAGTGCTGTGTGTAATACTGTCACTAATAACACAAAATGTTTTAAATTGTATTAAACCATCTTTTTTTAAATAAATCACGAAAGGATGTAAAGTAGCTTGGTAGCTTAGAAGATTATTAAAAAGTATCATAAGAGAAGCCTACCAACTATTTGTTGTTCAAACCGAAAATAATATTAAGTCTAACCCAAAACAGTTATGGAGCTTCGTTAATAATAAAAATAACTCTAGCAGAATTCCTGGTGAAATGACGATGGACGGAAGATCATGTGCAACGCCAAATCAAATTGTCAACGCTTTTGCAGAATATTTTAGTGAAGTGTTTGTACGGCCGGTTGCCAATGATAATTATGATATACCCATAAACTACGTACAAAATTTTGATCTGCGTCAGATTAGTGAGTTAGATATATTAAGTGCGGTAAAAAATATATCTTCAAATTTTACCTCAGGACCTGATAGTGTTCCAGCCTTTTTTGTTAAAGTATATGTTTAATTTTATCCTGGCAAATAATACATTTCCTGAACAATGGAAAATTTCCAGAGTAACACCGATTTTTTAATCAGGTGACAAATGTTGTATAAGAAATTACCGTCCAATAGCAATCATATGTAACTTTGCCAAGATATTTGAAACTATACTAACAAAATATATTAATTTTCATATTTCTCCCCTTATTTCCTCAGCTCAGCATGGTTTTGTTAAAGGTCGCTCCACGGTCACAAACCTATGTAATTTTACTGAATTTACATCATATTCTTTAAATTAAAAACTGCAAGTTGATGTAATATACACCGATTTCACTAAAGCTCTGATAAAATTCAGCATAATATTCTTTTACGTAAACTACGTTACTTCGGTTTTAGTGGAAACATTATTAATTTATTTAAATCATACCTGCACCAAAGACTTCAATATGTTGAATACAAAAACTGTAAATCGGAAGTATATTGTGCAACTAGTGGCGTTACCCAAGGGAGTAATCTTGGACCAATATTGTTCTTAATGTTTGTTAACGATATAACAAATGACATAGGCTCAAAAAATTTACTATATGCTAATGATTTTAAAATATTTAGAGCTATTACCACGTACAATGACTGTGTATACCTACAAAATAATCTTAATATTTTGTATAGCTGGTGTGAAAAAAATCAATTATATTTAAACATTGAAAAATGTTACGTTATGAGGTTTTCCAGAAAAGTTAATAATATTGTTTTTAATTATAAAATAAATAATAATTCTTTAAGAAATGTTGAAACAATTAAAGATTTAGGCATCACTTTTGATAAATCTCCATCATTTGTCCCTCATATAAATTTGACAATCTCGGCAGCTAACAAAATGTTGGGTTTTATAATACGTAACACAAAAGAATTTAAAAACCTAGATACTTTGAAAGTCCTCTATAATGCCTATATTCGTAGTAAATTTGAATATGCCTGTGTCATTTGGTCACCATTTTATGATATCCATATTGATAACATTGAAAAAATTCAAAGGAAATTTTGTAGATATTTGTGTTACCTAAATAATTTAATTATTATGGATACTACCCCGTTTTTAACTTTGACTATGTTAGTGCTTTAATATCCTTTGGCATGGAAAGTTTGGAAATACGTAGAAGAAATGCACGCTTAATTTATCTATATAAAATTGTCCATGGTACTATTTTTGACCCCGATATTCTCTTAAAAATAAAATTTCATGCCCCAAGACTAAATTCTAGATATTGCCAAACTTTTCATGTGGAAGCTGCGAATAATAATGAAAGAAGGAATTCCCCTCTAATTTCAATGTGTCGGAGTTACAATCTAATTGAAG